CCCTTGATTGGAGAAGCACTGGACAGGCTACGGTCAGCAAAATACTTTACCAAACTCGACATCAAAGATGCATACCATAATATACGCATCAAGGCAGGAGACGAATAGAAGACTACATTCGCCTCAAGATACGGAATCTTCGAATACTTGGTTATGCCCTTCGGGCTAACGAACGCACCAGCTTTATTCCAGAGATGGATCAACAAAGTACATAATAAGTACCTCAACATATGTTGCATCGTATACTTGGATGATGTACTCATATACCCAGAAAACATACAGCAACACCAAAAAGATATCAGCAATATCATGGCTGCAATACAAGGATCAGGAATGAAGATCAAACCAACAAAATGCGAATTCCATAAGGAAGAAACAGAATACCTTGGATTTATCATTAATCGAAATGGGGTCAAGGTTGACCCTGTTAAAACAGAAGCCATATGGGATTGGGCCAAACCAAACAACAAGACAGATGTTCAATGCTTTATAGGATTCTGCAACTTTTATCGAAGGTTCATAGAGGGATTTAGCAGGCTTGCAAAACGACTCTATAACCTAACCAAGAAAGACAAAAAGTGGGAATGGTGAGAAATCGAACAAAAAGCATATGATGCAATACAAACGCATCTAACATTGGCACCCATACTGGTTCATTTCAACCCAAACAGAAGGACAATGATCGAAACGGATGCCTCAAAATATGTATGCTCAGGCATACTATCACAACAATGCGACAATGGAAAGTGGAGACCAGTGTCCTATCGATCCAAGACAATGACCCCTACAGAGTGCAACTACAATGTTGCAAACAAAGAACTATTAGCAATAGTTCAAGCATTAAAAGAATGGAGAAGATACGTTTCGAACAACGACCATCCAGTCTGAGTTCTAACCGACCACAAGAACCTGGTGCTGTTCATGACTACAAAAGAACTAAACGACTGCCAGATAAGATGGAGGGAACACCTCAGCAAATACAACTTCAAAATCGAATACCGACCAGGCAAAGAAAGTGGAAAGCCAGATGCTCTCACAAGGATTGCAAGTGACAAACCACAAACGAAAGAAGATGAAAGAATCAAACAAAAAACGCGAACACTATTACCAAAAACCTACTTTGAGGCAATGGAGGTTATCCAATTCACATCAACGGAGGAAAGAGGAATAGAGAATGCAAACGAGAAAGACGAAACAATTCAGACAATAAGAGAAGCCTTGGAGAAAGGAAAAAAAGAGATAAAACGAATTGCTCTGGGTTTATGCCAATGGAAGGACGGAAATATGTGGTACGACGGAAAACAATGGATCCCGGAAGAAGAGCAGATAAGGGTAAATATTATACAACAACACTACGATATCCGAACGGCAGGAGATGGAGGAATGGCTAAAACCACGGAATTCATTACGAGGTCATTCTATTGGCGAGGACTACGCGAAGACGTCAAATGATATGTTAAAAACTGCAACATATGTCAAAGAACAAAAAAGGCTAAACACGCACCATAGGGATTACTGAAATCAAACGAAGTTCCCGAACAACTATGGGAAACAATTACTATGGATTTCATCATGGACCTACCAGCATCGGAAAATTGCGATAGCATCCTGGTCATGGTGGATCGTCTGACCAAAATGAGCCATTTCATTCCAGTTAGAAAAGATATCAACACGAGGGATTTTATACAAACATTCTTCAGAGAGGTCTTCCGACTTCATGGCCGACCTAAGAATATCATCACCGATCGAGGAATACTATTCACATCGGGACTATAGAAAAAAGTAACCGGAGAAATGGGAATACAAAACAGAATGAGTACAGCGTTCCACCCACAAACGGATGGACAAACGGAACGAGTAAATGCAATACTCGAACAATATTTAAGGGCTTACGTCAACTATTAACAAGATAATTGGTACAAGCTGTTATCAATGGCCGAATTCGCATACAACAACGGAAAACAAGAAATGATCGGCACAACACCATTCTTCGCGAATTACGGACAACATCCACCAAGTCAAACCACATATCATACAATTAATGATGTGATACCAGAGAAAGCGGATATGGGAAAACTACACGAAACCTTACAATACGAGATGAGTCAAGAACAACAATGGCAAAAAGAACAATACGATAAGCACCGAAGACCGGATCCGAACATACAACCAGGAGACATGGTATGGCTAATACCACGCAATATCCATACAATACGACCATCAAAGAAATTGGACTACAAGAAAATCGGACCCTTCAAGATATTGGAAAAAGTAGGCAGCCGAGCTTATAAACTCAACCTTCCCCCCTCAATGCGAATACACAATACATTCCACATCTCACTTCTCAAATTACACAATGACAATAAGTTTCCTTCATAAACACTTATTCTTCCCCCTCCGATCGAACTCGACGGAGAACCAGAATACGAGCTCGACAAAATAGTCGATTCCCGCTTCTTCCACGGTCACCTCCAATACCGAGCCAAGTGGACCGGGTATTCTCCTGAACACGATAAAACTTGGTACTTCACACACAACTTTGAAAACGCACAAGATGCCATCTCAACCTTCCACCAGCGATACCCAGGCAAGCCCAGCCCAGGTGACAATCACGTTCAACCAAGACAAAGGCGAGGGAAAGACTCCCGCACCATTGCAGCAATACGAGGGCTGGGGCGATAGCCCCCGCCAAACTACACCCACCAGCCCTGAATACTCATTCATTGGGCCAACCGATGAAGAACTCAAGGAAAGGGAAAAACAAGCACAGCATAACGCCAGGTCATGGACGGTATGCTACGATGACGGTTGCCAAACACACTTTGGCGACAAAGAAGGCTCAGGATGGTTCCCGAGGGAATGTCGAAAGCGTGGCCCACGCCCGGACCACGTCCTCAAGCATTGGCAACAATGCTTCAGAAATGGGTGCAGGATATACAGGGCACAGAAAATATCTGCGGGATTCTACCCGCAGAAGGATGGAAGCAGAAAAGAGTTGGAAGGAGAAGATGCCAGAAAGGCATGGGCCGCGAGGACACGGTCCAAGGAAGGAGGGGCCCAAAGCTCCTCCGCAGATACAGAACCGGATGTCAGGAGCCTACACAGCCAGATCCAGGGACTCCGAGAACAACTAGGCCAAGCCGAGGCCACAATTTCGGCAAACGACAAAATGAATGCGGAGCTAAGACAGCTGAACGACAATCAGCGGCACACGATCGAAATGGCGAACCTGACTCTGGAATCGGTAAGGGTCAGATGGAGGACGGCAGACGAAAAGTTCTACAAGCTGAGAAGGACCATGCGCTCGGCACGACGGGAACTATTGAAACTGGGAGAAAAGGCCTGATGGGACTCAGGCTTAGGAGGAGGGGAGCTAATGTCACGAATGTGGCTTAGTAGGGAAAGGGTTTTCACGTGACGCATAGTTATGAGTCACAGGTATGTTATTGTTTTACACATATGACTCAATAGGGTCATATGATTCGTTATGTGTGGGATTTGTGATGCTTTCGCACATGGCTCAAGTATGAGTCATGGGACGTGCGCCTGACAAGTATGCCTTGCTAGTATGCCTTGCGGGTACCAGCCTTAAAGGCGACCCATGCATGATTTATGTTTTGCACATGACCTCATTATGAGGTCATGGGTTTCGCGCATATGACTCAGTAGAGTCATATGACTTGTTTATTGCGTTATGATTGGTTTATGAGTTTTGTACATGACCTTGTTATAAGGTCGTGGGTTTTGAGCATGTGATCACTTTGGTCACATGATTAGTTTGTTATGATTTGGTTTCGCACATGTGACCACCTTAGGTCACATGACTACGGGCGGGAAGAATACTATATAAGGAGGCCGATGTGGCTGAGGAAGATAGGTTCTTTACGCTTTGTTCTAAGTACTTTTCCTACTTATTACTTTAACAAATATAAAACACCTTTACGATCTTTATCTTTGTTGCAACGTTATAGTTACGCCAAGAAGCGCTCGTCACGAAGACGAGTTAGAAAAAGCTTACGATACACGTTTCCGATAGAAGACAAAGGTATTGTACTATCGGTAACGTAGGCAGGAACCTAAAGCTATCGTAAGACAAAGAAAGAAGGAGACAGAAACGATAAGTATCGTTCCCCATCGCCAAGAACTAACTATCTAGGAAGGGATTGTTACAGCAGAGGCTTAGAGCTATCGTAAGACAAAGAATGAAGAAGACAGAAAGAGAAGTATTGTTCCCCATCGCCAAGAACTAACTATCCAGAGAGGGATCGTTACACACAGCATCCTTCTCCTTTAACTCGAAAATGTACTTTAAAATATTGTCCCGATGGCGGGCAACTATCATGGCCTAGTTCAACCACCTGCTCAAATTTCCTATGTGGTAGATCTTGAACTCTGTACCTGCACCTGTAACCACTTCAAAGATACCAATATTCCTTGCCAACATGGAATTGCATGCATATTGACTCTTTGACACAGAATCGATAGCTATATATCTTACAAATTCCTTGTAGATATATGGAAGCGAACCTATTCACACAACTTTCCTCTGATTATTCTCACAGAACACCTTCGTCACCCATCTCTTCTGGCTCTAATTCTACTTCAGCATACTTCCAAACCTTAACCACTTCCTCACCTCCTTATTCCTCCTCCTGCACCAAATCTTTTACCTGCGGCCCGACAAAATAGAAATCCTTTTTACCCTGAACTACCACAAGTTCAACAGGAAGTATGAGTAGTGGCTGCTCCTGGAAGATGTGTTATTGGAAGGCAACAAAAGTCACAGGCGGTTTCCGGAGGACGGAATCGAGCATCTGGGTCTACACAACAGATCTGTGGTAGTTGTAGGGAGCCTGGACACAATAGTAGGAGCTGTAGGATATGTACTCATATGTAGTTCTTGTTATTTGACTTTTTTTTTTTTTTTTTTTTTTTGCTTAAAATTATCACGCACCTTATTCCAGAAAAGTCCACAAAACAAAATAGCAAAGTGCCAAGGAGAAAATGTCTAGCAAAAGTGGTGTTAAGACCTCCCTTGTGCTGACCTCTGAGACCATGGGTCCAAGTTTACCCCTCCAGTCAAGGTATGTCATGGTATTTTACGAGTAAACTTAGACCCCTGTTTTTCATGGTATTTTAAACGATCGCTCATAGAAACTCTCAATGCAAACCAGCAACGGCTGTATCATACAGACTACAGCGCGCACACACACTCCTCAATTCAAATTATTCAAAGGGATGATAAGTTAAAAATCCTTTTCAACCGCTGCCTCCCCCCTTCCTTCCCCTTCCAAACTCTCAATCCCAATCCCACCTCAAAAGAACATCCGAATAAGCTCAAAAACGATACCTCCGAAAACAGCGAACCCGATAACGACTAGTACAATGAATTATCACATAACCTATTAGCAACCCGACCGAAGTGCTGCAGCGGACAGGAAAGAAGGAAAGAAAGGAAGTGGGACATACTCAACCAACCCTGCGAAATCGGCGACTTGAACTTTTGCTTCTTGACCGACTTCTCGGGCTTGCCGCGCTTGGCCTCTTCACGTTTGGCGAACTTTTCATTCGCTTTGCGCTGTTGGGGTGTTTGTGCCTGTTGTTTTTTTCCCTCGGTCGTTAGTTTCCCCCCCCCCTCCTCGGAGGATCAAGCTGTGAAGAGGAATATACCATGACGGAAATGTGAGGTGGGTGGTAGTTGGTGATCTAATTAGCAAGCGTGAGAAAGGATACGATCGATTATCAGACGAAAGAGGCACACAGTATGATAAAAGCTTCGTTGTGCGAAAGAGATGGATGGAGTAGTAGGTTAAGACCGGAAGCTGCAGATTTTAAGAGGGTAGGTACGGTAGCTACGGTAAGTTGTCCTCCACCAGGCGGTAAGGACACCTAAACTAAACCCCCCTCCCCCTTCCTCCTCCCCACACTCACGCCTCGCGTCGTTCTCTTGTCATCTCTCAAAACCGCTCCTTGCCAAGACGGTGCCAAATTTATCATACTTTTGGAGAAACCCCGCCATTCATTTGCCTTAAATATTCTTCTCATCTGAGGATCTACGATACCGCAACTGCATCAATCCCGCAGAAAAAAAAGAAAAAAGAAAAGAAGAAAGAAGAAAAAAAAGAAAGGAAGCGATGAACATGTTCACCCGTGGAACTCTACTTATGCGCTCTATGCACTCTATGCACCAGAGGGGGAGCACAATAATTCCACCTCCCCTCCTCCTCCGCCGGAGAACCCTCATGGACGTGAGTGGGAAGGCTACGTCGCCGCATGTAACCTACCTACCTGCCTTACCTTACCTTACCCACCCACAATGAAATCCCCACCATTGACTGATTTTCGTCCAACGTCGTAGGTAGTCTTCTATAAAGACTTTGGAGGACCCGTCGCGAAGGTCTTCCTCGTGGCATTCTTCACATACCAGGTTACGTATTGGGCCTGGCTGAAGCTGGAGAAGGAGGAGGAGAAGAGGGAAAAGGAGGGTATGTGTTCTTTATTTTCTTTATTTTCTTTCTTTCAGAATTGCCCCCCCTTGGGGGGTGGATGGAATCTTTTTCGCTAATTGGGAGGGAAAAGAGGAGGTTTCGGCGATTGAGCAGGAGGTTGTGAGGGTGAGGGATGAGGTTAAGAGTAGGAACGCGGGGAGGTAGAGGTGAGGGATTTGGTGGTGAGGGATTTGGTGGTGGGTTGCGGTGGGGTAAATTGCGGTGGGTGGAGGGGTTTACTTGTAGTAACAGAGAAATATACCTATATTTGATCCCCGCTCGCGGCATAGTTTTTTGTTATAATTGTCGGGATACGGTTCTGTTGCGGGGTTATGATAGACAGGGTGAATATCACACGGTATGATAACAAAATTAATGACAAATAATTGAGGGTTCGGTCTCATGATTGGTGAACTGCTCATGGCGAGAAAAAAGGGTGATAAACTAACCCTTCTTCTGATCTTGCCGCACTGTATGATAATTTTTCTCAGAAGCCACATACAGTAATCAGAAAGGGCTGTGGGCTCTCCCTGTGGCTTGCGCGTGGTGATGAATTCGATGAGGCTTTCAAGTCGCAGTATCTATCCATCTAACACTCATCCAACGGATATGATACAAGTATATTGACGATGCGAATTGAAGTGACGAACTCACCCTCCACACCATACAAAGGTTACATGAGAATCTCCAAAACGGTGATCCTTCGAGAAGCATCCACAACTTGCCATTCTTCCTTGACCTAGACTGAGGCAGTTGTTTCCTACCGGTGGTATCGTTCAACCTAGTTCACATCCAATCAGCCAAAAAGAACCCCCGAAACTACCAGCTCGAGAGTCTACTACAATTGGTCGCGCAAATCGCGGTCACGGCGAAGCCATAGCAGTCGCCTCCAACCAAATGCACTGGTTCCAACAACTTCCGGTTGTCGTCAAGATCCACTCCGTTATGTTATGCATGGATGGCACAGCAGATACCCTCTCACAGCTTACAGCACGAACGTATGATTCCATCATCCCGAAATCCTCTGAAGCAGTCAGCGAAGTTCGTCCGACCGACGATTGAGCGCGCGGGGAATTGGGCGCATAGCCTGACCGGTGTTGTCCGTTTGATAGCATCGGGCACGCTCGAATGATTGACCTGGGGCGCTGTGCCGTCGGGGGGTTGTGGTTGCCTGCTCCGGTATGGTCTGGTGTCCATTTTTATTTTCACTTTGCGTCTTGGAGGGCTGAGTTGCTCTTATTCTGCTGCTTTCATTTTCCCCACCCCACCCTCTCAAGCTTTCCCAAGTGCTATACGGCACTTGTGGGGGATTCCCGGTTATACTGCACGGGGTTCGGTCGCTTGGGTTTTTGGCATGGTGGGGTGCCACAAATTGTGAGAGTGAAGTGTGTATCATAGGTGTGAGAAGGGGGTGGGGGATGAGATATGGGAGGGGAGTCATGAAATTGAGCCAAAACAGGGCAAGCATGATAGAAAAACACGCTGACGACGGCTGGTAATGGGACATGCCTCACACAAATCACCCTTCACGCGACACCAAGCACGAAAAACAGAAACGGACTGATCGGGCACCGAATCACATTCCATAATCCGGTCCGCTTCCATATTATCGTGAATACCTCGAATGCCGGAAGATGCGCCATCAAGCCCACACTCGATACCAAGGACAAGTTCACCCACTGCAGAGCTCCGACACAGCGAGCCCAGTGCGGTAGGTACGGTACTCTAGCTCGCTCATAATCACGTGACTTCTGTCCAACATGATTCACTGGTGCCACGGTGATACAGAAAACATCCCATGCTCAAGTACCGGACCGGTACTAGTATAGTTATCGGGCCGAGTCACAAGACACATACTGCACTTGCATTGCCATCCGGCTCTTCACTAGAGACCCCCCATCTCATCGAGCGCTTCAGCCCTAGCCTACGGCACGCACCCGATCAGCACTGAACTGCACTCCTCGGTCGCGCCCTATCACCCACTCGGCGGATCATCCGGTTAAGGTTTCCTGTAGCCTAAGTGCATCGGCGCGGTCGGGTGAAATTGCAGCAGCAGAGGCCCATTATGGTGAAGTGGGTCAGCTGGTGGTAGTGGTGGGTAGCTTACTCGAGATTTGGGGTGGTGCGGTGTTGTGGGCGGTGGGGAGGGTTGAATTCTCGCTTCAGACGGGGTCAGGCGGGACGGTTTGTGAGAGATTTTGTGAGTGCATTGAGGACTGCGTTTTGTTGCCGTGGTATCCTCATGGATATCGGTATATGCGTTCACTCGGCCGGTAGACGGTATCTGCCCATGATCAGTCATCGTCTCTGGTAATTTACAGCGTCGCTTCACCGGGCTTGCAAGATTGCCCGCTTGGTAATTCGCGCTGTAGACACCGTGACTCATAGGTATTGGGGGATTCGTATATCCCGCTTTTTTGTGATAAAGTCAGTAAGATTAGTAGTTCCCTCTCTGTTCGATAGTTGAGGTCTTGTGGCATGATACCAGTGAACTTGACACTTTGAACAAGACCCGTGCACCGTACAGAATGATGGTAGCTTCGCCAAAGCAGAGTGGTGACACTACCCAACTCGAGCCCTCTTTCTCCCCATTCCCCATCACCATCAGGCCGCCAGTCCTAGGAACACGACGTTCACAGCATTTCCCCTCGAATTCAACTCCTAGTTTAGGATCCCCTGGCCTGGAGCGTTACATGGGTTACCTTCGCGATTAGTTACTTGTCCCAGCACGCGCGTAATCCGCCTAGCCACGCCGTCATCAGCGGAGCTGAGCCGAGCGATGTGTGCGTGGGTGGTCGGGGTTAATGTGAGTGGACTGCGGTACCTACCGGTAGCGGTAAGCCGGGGAGGGATTTGCGGATATTAGTTGTTCCGATGGATGGGGCTGTGGACGTGTTGCATGCTCGGGTGGAAGTGAAGAGAGAGGGTTGGATTGGTTGTGGCTGTGTGGGAATGATATGAGGGGTGTAGCCAGATACGTTCCGAGCAGATCTTGGGCTCGATTGGCGGTGAGGGATCCTGGATTGGGGCGATGGGGAAAACTTTGAGGCACGGTCCCGGTTATCGTGCTCTACACTTCTCTGGCTGTGATTTGGAGATGTGGTTTTTTGGATTATCCGGATCGTTATGATAGGTACCGTAAAAACTCTTGAAATCCGCCATCTCAGGCGATCGCGCTAGGGCCAATAGGGGTTAGGCGAGTAAGAGACAAGGGTGAGTGGTAAGCGATGATCCCAAAATTAGATTCTCCGCACAGACATTATCCCCTAAACTGCTGAAACATTCAGGCCTGTTTAAAATGTTGAACACTTCACGTGATATCAATTCCAGCATGATCTAAGATGCATGTACGGAGAAGTTGAAGCCAAACACATAAGATGAAAATACCAATACCTATCCTTCTAATACCTACAAAACATCCACAAAGCCAAATGAACCCTCCAAAAAATATACAAAGTGGACAAAACCTTATCCCAAGTGATATCAAGCAATCTAGAACAATTCTAATATCCCATGACCCTTCAGACTCAGAATTCTGTAAGCCTATACCACACGAGTATGCGTACTATTTTATGTCTAGTAACATAGAATGTGAGATATGCTGAATACTAGCAAGAGAGGGGAAAAGAACAGGGTACTAATAAGTACCAAATTGCCAAAAACCACAAAGCCATACGCAAATAACCCCCGAAATCACATCCAACCGACACCTACTCCCATGATCAGCCACTAACACAAGTAACTCTTCCGTCTCCCTGATCTGACTGCGGTGGGTACCAATGCTGACACAGAAAATCACCTCCACAGCGAACTTGTCAAGAAAGAGCACACAACCGCAGATATGCTCTCGCTTGCTCAGGCACTCCAGTAGTTCTCTCTGCACTTCGGTAGTGTGTTGGAGAACGAGAAGATTCTGCTCGGCATGTTTGATAACTGTTTTCGGATATACTTCTAGGGACATTGTTCACTCTTATAGCGATGTATTATACCAAATAATCTAGGAAGATGGTTAGTAAAGCATTTCGAATTGATTGGTGTAACGTGTTCGCAAGGTGCTAATCATGTTATTGGTAATAGATACGATAGTTGGCAGGTGGCCTGCTCTTCTAGAGAGGAGGGGAGAGCTGAGAACTAAAGGAGGCTTCGGAGGTGTACTGAGGAACAAAGAAGTAACTGTTCAACCAAGTATATTGAAATACTGTCTGTCAAAGTCTGCCTTTTCTATCGTAGAAACAGGCGGTCTTTAAATACACAAATCTGTTAATGTCTAGCATGAATGAAACTAATCAAAGGTATCAATCGATACACTTTGGTGAAACTTCTTAAGTATCAAAGTGATACTTAAAACAAAACGTAAAACAAAACCAAGTATTAAACGATACTTAAAACAAACCAAGTATCAAAGCGATACTTAAAACAAAACATAAAATAAAACCAAGTATCAAACGATATTTAAAACAAACCAAGTATCAAAGCGATACTTAAAACAAAACATAAAACAAAACCAAGTATTAAACGATACTTAAAACAAACCAAGTATCAAATGATACTTAAAACAAACCAAGTATCAAAGCGATACTTAAATCAAAATATGAAACAAAACCAATAACTGAGTACCCGTACCCGTTACAATTGGAGTAGTCAGATAGATATGAGAACCCCGTACATTTGACCATACCTGTATATCCATATAACCACCTAGTAACCGCCACTGGCAGCCTGAGCCCTGAAAGCCGTTCTATCCTTTTTCCTCATAAACAACCGATGAATGAGAATATGACTGGTAGTCGGATGCGTCCTGATGGTTGGGGACACTGCTGATATTGTGGAACTGAAAAAAACAGTCTCGACATAAGGTAAAATTACACTCGTGACAACCTGAACTAACAGATTTGACCTTAACAGCTTTCAATGGAGCTTGAGATCGCCACCAATGACAAAGAATACAGAGTGTGTGAGTTGGGCGCTATTCCATAGTATAATGATCCCTCCTCGGATGATTAGTTCTTGGCGACGGAGAACAATACTTCTCTTCTCTTTCTTCTTCTTCCTTCGTCTTACGATAGTGCTAGGCCTCTGCCTACGTTACCGATAGTACAAGACCTTTGTCTTCTATCGGAAACGCCTATCATAAGTTTTCTCTAACTCTTCTTCGTGAAGAGCCCACCTTAGCGTAACAATAACGTTGCAATAAAAATAATGATCATAAAGTTGTTTTATATTCGTTAAAGTAATAAGTAGGAAAAGTCCTTAGAAGTCAATCTAATTTTATTTAAACTCGTACCACCAACACTGGCATATGATGAGTCCCCGCCGGCACAGGGATACCGCTAACCGGTATACCACTAATCCTAAGCTAACTAAGTCTACGGCCCCGCACCTGCCATCCCCAAGTCATGCCTGTACGAGAACAAATTACAAGACCATCAAACAACCCAGCGCCTGCCCCAGTTCAAGTCCGTAGCCCCTCTGGTATGCAGCCAACCAGTACTAAGCATACCCGAAGCCGAGCAAAAGACCAACCCAACCAGGTTCCTCGTCCAACAAATAAAATCACTACTACCCGGTCTTAACACCGTCCTGCAAAAACCTCCACCACAGTAGAAAACCAACAAACACCAAAAGCATAAACTACAGGCGACACAATGGCGGAGAGGAGGTGACCAACATGTCCACCTCTTGCATCTGCATGCCCGGCCATCGACCCTATGAACCCACTTTGCCACGTGCCTCCGAAGAGCGTAGTGGTGAGGAGGACCTGAACACGCTGCCTGTCCCCCAAAAAAACAAAATCCAAAAACAAAAAAAATACGTAGAGGTGGTGACAGACCGAAATGGTCAGTGGGGCCTATCTCCCACCCGTAGTGCCTTGCTCCTGCCAGCCATGCCCATTGCCAAACCAAAGAAACCAAACAAACTCCACAACACCCAGCACGTAGAACCCAAACAAGTCCAACCAGGTGGTCACAACCCACTATCTGCACAGGTGGCCGTCAGCCAACCGGTGCATTGGGGAGCCTTACAGCACTCAGCAGCTTCGCCCAACAGCCCAAGCCAGACTGGAAACACTTAATTAGACCTCGCCCAACCTGACGCAGGCCTGACCGGTGCTCGCAGGTGCCTCTCCCCCTCCAATCAGCCCCCCTCAAGCCCCACACACCAGATGCCACAGGGTCCATCCAGCCCATCCAGCCCCTCAGACAGATCAACCATCCCATAGCCACAGGACAGAGTATACCCAGCCCCACCAGGCAGCCATTGGTCTTGGCCACATGAATAGAGCCCTAACCCTCAACACCATATAGCCAAAAGGGGCCCACCAGCCACAGCTGGGAGCTACAAAGGAGGTGGCACCAACACCCGAAGGCATCAGCACCTGCCACACCACTTAACCCAGCCGAACCGAAGTTCAACTGAGCCGGGAAAGAGTAAGCAGAGCCAGCTGAAGCCAGCCCCACAGGTCCAGCAACAGGCACGGACCGAATGACGGGCAAGAGGCATCCCCAACTGACGTGACAAGAAGGGAGAGGTCGAACGAACAGAAGCAGACAAATAGAAGGTAGGCCCCACTTGCAATGGGTGAAGCCGCCAACCACAGACTACAACTGAACCACCCAGACGCACAGGCAACGCAAGGGTCTGGCAGCCAATCGTCCCACACCACCCCAGGCAGCAGCAATAACCACACCATGGGGTAAGAGTTTTCAGGGTCAAAGCCATCCCCACAAATGCGAGGAGGAGATGCCTGACTGAATCACTGTAAATGCCACAAAAATAAAAACTCTAAGGGAATGGCAATAAACAACATCGTAGGATTCCAACCGTAGAAACGAAGACGTAACGAAGAGGGGCTGGGTGGGTACCGCCCTGCCACCTGAGGAATGATGCGGCTGGTATGACGAGTTGATACTTGGGAAGGTTATCAGTCTAACACAAGGGCGTTTTGTATCGTGAGAACTAAGAACTCTGTTAAAACCCAACAAAAGACATGAGCTGGCCCAAAGAACGACACAGGTGATCCCCTCAAACACAATGTTCAATCCCCCCAATCGAACGCGAAACCTGCGAGTAGATGATAGACAGGAAGCCGTAGACATTTTACCGAAAGGGATTCGTATGCGACCGTGATGAAGAGCTCGAAGTAACAGTATCATGAGAAACCATCAGGTGACGAAACGAGAAGCAAACAAGTAGTCCACCACGCAACACCTAACAGACCTCAACGCCAAAGACCCCAGGAACTACTGAGCAGACTCAGATATCTCCCCCAGAATCCAAGGCATCAAGGTCCATCATGATGGTGAAAGAAATGCTCAGGGTGAAGCGACGGCAAGGACGAGGAAAAGTACTTAGAATTCAATCTAATTTTATTTATACTAGTACCGCCGACACCGGCATACGACCAGTCTCCCCCTCGCCCCATAAAAACAAAACTATCTAAAATACACTACCGCGGACCATTCCGCCTCGCAATCGCTCCCCCCAAACATAAATCCAAAAATCACTACCTATATGGGCTCACGGGCGCTCGCAGCAACTAGTGCTGCCCCGGATTCACGCGTCTTCCCATCTCGCTTCCCAGCCACCTCCTCATACCCTCCCCCCTATCCGCCTCCAACACAATCTGACCCACATACTCCACAAACGAAACATACAGTCTATCCCAACATCCCTCCATCCTTTTATAATGTAGTCCCAAGTCCACATACCCTTCGGCCAGAACCATCCCACAAAATAAACAACGCTCCTCCTTTAGCAATCCTTTTGTCTTGGCCCATCGCAAAACTACCGATGTTCGAGTTGCGAGGTCCAGCTCGTCTTACCGCTGGTGTCGAGAATGCCAAAACCAGTCGTGACGCGTTTGTAAGCAGCGGGGCTTTTTCTCAAAGTGTTCAGAGAAGGTGACCCGTTTCTGGGTAGGTGTCGCCGAAATCGCAGCCCCACAGCAGGGACAGTCGCAGCGTCGTTGGTCGGGCAAGAAAAACCACTTCTTCGGCATGGTAATCAATCCTGGCAGAACGCATCCGCTACCATCATGTTTTTTCTCGCACTGGGTACAGGTCCTGGGGTCCTCCACCGTCGCCAATCGACCACTTCTTT